CTGCCCCGTCATATTTTCCTGAATCACTTTGACAGCCTGAAGTCTCTTCCCTTTCAAATGCGATTTTAATTTTGGGAAAAGCCAGAAGCCACAAGCCACCAAATCTGGGCTACAGAGGGGCTGAGTCACCTGGGTGATCACCAAAAAACTCTGCACAAGATGTGATGCATGAGTGGGCACATTGTCATGATGAAGCTGCCAATCACCAGTTGCCCATATCTTCAGCCTTCTGAATACATTCCATGGAGGAATGTTCAAGCTTAATGCAAAATTTGATGCAGATCCATTGCTCTACTTACTCAGTCATTTTGAATGTGATGACCACACAATACACATGCTCACTCAAAGATATCTGCTCCCACTGACTAGTACAGTGAAGGCGTCATTGTTCACACATGTGCATCCCAGTCCACTTTCTCTGGCTGCCAGGTTACATCAATGTCACACAAACTATTCTTGTTATATTAGCAATGGCTGGACTTTTTCTGCACAGACCTCATATATTTTAAAGGAAGTTTTATTGCATAATTTATGTTTTGGTTAGTTGTTGCCCTTGAATATTTTGTGTTCATGACCAGAAACATGAGTAATAATTAGACATAATCATTCAATTTGGAAACAAGATTTTCTTTATTTGTTCTTCAAGCATCTGGACTATTTTAATTGCAAAGATCTTAACATTGCCAAAACCAAATTAGCTATTTTTTTTAAAGTTTGCCATTTGTAATAGCTCTTCTAATGTTAAGAATTGTTTCAATATTATAATGCCAAAACAAAGTACAGAAATAAATTTGTTAATGATTAAAATTGCAGCTGTCACCCATGTCCCTTGATTTCATACTTATTATTAGTCAATAGTTTATTATTTTCATTGATGGATTTTGATAAGTGGTATCATACTTTGGGCTTATAAAATAAATTACTACTAGCAAATCTCTTGTTCTGTTTTATATAATGGAGGATTCATTTAGAATTTATTAGATAGAAGAAGACTGCATCTAAAATAATTTGAAAACCACTGATCTGGCCCAATCAATTAATTTTACAAATTGAAAAATTAAAGCTGAGTTTATGTGTCTCGCTGAAAGTTACACAGCTAGAACACTGTAGTTGCAAACTTCCAGATCCTTAGTTCACTGTTCTCTGTATTATTTGTTATAGTGCATTTCATTTATGCCATGCCACTTAGCATTAATGACACGGTTTGTATATATCATTTATTTATTCAACAAGTAATTATCTGTATACCAAGCACTCTTTTAGGCACTGGATACATTCCCTGAATCTAGAAATGGTGCTGAAAATAAAATAAGAAAAGTGATTCTGTTCAGCTTCCTGCAATTAGCCTATATATCACTGGGTAAACTTACTGTATTAATAACAAGAATTTTTGTATTTATGATTATATTTTAGAGGAGCGGAAAAAGTTCTTTAGTATTTTTGAAAGGTAAGAAAAATGAATAATTTGACTCAAAGCTCTCTGTCTGCATCCCATGAACCTGGTAATGTGTTTGGCAGCCATAAGTTCCAAGATGTATGAAACAGGAATATGTGTGGTAGGTGCTATTACCTTTATGTAAACAGCACTGTAGAATGAGAGAGAAATGAAAAAGTAACTCTAAACAGTAGGCTGGAGGGAGCTTCATGGAAGAGCTGACCCCGGCTCTGGCTGGTGTGGCTCAATGGATTGCTCACTCCTCCCTGCAAACGACAGGGTCACTGGTTCAATTCCCAGCCAGGACACATGCCTGGGTTGCAGGCCAGGTCCCCAGTGGGGGGCACATGAGAGGCAACCACACATCGATGTTTCTCTCTATCTCTTTCTCCCTCCCTTCCCCTCTGTCTAAAAATAAAATAAATAAAATCTTTTTTTTTAAAAAAAAAAGCTGACCCTGGAGTTTAATTAAAGGAAGGAAGCCTGCCTACAGGAGGAGTTCTTTCTAAGCCCAGGGAACAACATGCATAGGCACAGAGTTGTGAGAGATTCTGGCATTTTCAAAAGTTTAATGCAGCAAGATCCTAGGGTATCTTAGGAGGAGCAGTGAATAAACATTTTTACCTGTCATTAGATGACTGGAGAATGGAAGTAATGAAATGTGTGAACTTCTTATTTTGTACCATGGGTATCCTTCGTGAATCTATCTATTTTTATTCCTAAATGTTAAGTTCTTTGAGAACCCTTGTGGTGTTTTGCACTGCCCAGTCTGATGGTGACGTGTGCAGCACTGAGCATGGCAAGGGCTCAGCATATGCTTCCTTATTAATTGTGTCCATCATTCACTCAGCAGATATTTTTGGCTGCAGCATGTGTAAGGTTCTGTACTTTGTGCTATTAAAAATTAAAAACTTGAAATACAAAGCCAGTCTTCAAGGAGCTGTTGAACCCAAAGCAAAAAATAGTACATTTTTGTCTTTTTTGATGATGAATAAATCTATGTACTCACAGAGTTTACATTTTTGTTAGAGGGGACAATAATAAGACAAACAGGAAAATATGTGATATGTTAGTGATAAATACTAAGAAGAAAAAAATAAAGTAGAAAAGGGGGATATAAATTATCAGAGGAAAAGAGGAGGTAAAGCTACTTAATTTCCTTTGCCTCCATTTCCTCAATTCTAGAAAAGAAAAAAATACTAGTTCTTATACAGTTGTGACAAGAATTAAATGAGTTAATGCATGTTTAAAGTGCTCAACCCAGTTTCCAGAAGATGGTAAGAGAAATGTCAGCTAGTATTCCTATGTATTTGGCTAAAATAACATTAGCACAATAGCCATCTTATTTTCATCACTTATGGGTTTTTTAAATTATATTTTATTGATTATGCTATTAGTTGTCCCAGTTTTCCCCCCTTTTTCCCTCTCCACCCAGCAGCCCTCACTCCCTCAGGCAATCCCCCCACCATTGTTCATGTCCATGGGTTATGCATGTAAGTTCTTTGGCTTCTCCATTTCCTATCCTGTACTTCAAACCCCCATGGCTATTCTGTAACAAAGAATATACTTAAAGTTTGGAACTGCTCTATAGGCTAAGACTCCCTCATCAGTATCTTGCTCCTTTTAGCCTCTGCTTTCAGTGTACTCACTGATAATATTACTTGTTCAAGTAAATTATTGTTTTTTGATAATATTTCTTCTAGAAAACAATATTTGTTTATCTAAATGTCAGGTCATCTTTTTACTTCAGGCATTAGGCAGACATCCAGATCTTTCTGTGGAAAATATTCATTAATGCTTCATGACTTATCACATCCCAAGGTTAAAAGTTCTGACAAAATGAGACCTTTATGCTTGCTGACCATCTAAAAAAGAGTATGATATTGAAATTGTTATTACCAGACAAAAATATAGTATCTGCAATATTAATCTTTTGGAATTAAGAGTATATACATGGATTAGGTGAACTTTCAAGTCCCTTACCTTTCTTTCTTTGCCTTTCTAACCTGTGTGCATCTTTAAATGTATCCTGACCCCTAAACTGGCCCCTACCTCTGATCTCTGAAGTCTAGACTGGCTCTTTCTTTGTGCTCATTTAGCACTCCATACTTAGTCCTCATCAAAGCCAGTATCATTTAATGTTGTAATTACCTGTTTGCCTGACTGCCCAACGTCCCACCCTTCACCTCCCAGGCAGTAAGTTCCTTGAGATGGGACGTTGTTCTCTTTATGTGTTGGGTCCTTACCATCCATTCAGTGTCTCAAATGCAGTTTCCTAATAAATACTTAAAACATTAACTATAATGTCTCCAGTACCTATAGTATTTCAGGATTATAGAAACATAGTTACTTAACCTGATCCCACATCCTTTCATTGCTCCTTTGTCCCTGCTGGCTGCTCTCTGAGGAATAGCAATGCTCAAGCATGCTACTATACCACATACTACACTTTTCCCTGTCCTCCTTTGGCCTAAAATCAAAAAGAGAAATACAAAGTAGGCTGGCTATGAGGAAAGACCTCAAAGGTGGAGGAGCACCCCATGGAGTAACTGTGGTCCAAGATGTGGTCCTTATTCTTCCATTTAAAAATTGATTTTGCCATTGCTCTCAAGGGTGATGGCCTCTAGGGTCTAATACAAACCATCTACACAATCTATTTTTACAAGAAATTAATTTGTAAGCCAGGTGACCTATTTGTTTGTTTAATTGTTTTCTTTGAGTGAAATACATACATCTGGTATTCAAGTCACTAACTTAATGATATCAAAGCACCTGTGAAATCCACCAAATCATCATGGGATGGGCGGTGGGAGGGTGAAATGGAGACAACTATACTTGAACAACAATTTAAAAAATGTGAAAAAAAATAAAAGCCTAAGCTTATCTAACTACATTTTTTAAAAAAAGGAAATCCACCAGACCTTGGAAACAGAGCAGAATGAGTTGGACTGTCACAGGATTATTTTACCCAGGACAAGGCAGAGCCTTGTTGCCTTGTCAGTGTCCCCTTGGTGGCTAGGAGAAAATAGAGTAATGGGTAGTAAGGTATCAAGAACACTTTTGAAGGACCTTATAAAAAAATTTTTCTTATTTGTCAAAAGATAATTATTTTAAAAGTCATAAAATAAACAATGGCATTTTCTAATAATTATGATTGATTAATACTCTTAATAATGGTAATATACAATTTGGTTCTGTAATTCTTTGATCCCAACATGAGTTCATAAGTTAATGATAATGTGGTATTGCCAATGATGGTGCTAAGAAAGAAGGAAAGATAAAGGATTGAAGTTAGACCTCTACCTCCTCTAATTCAAGAATCATCACAGTCTCAAGGTCAACTCAATTTTATTAAAGTTCACTTTGTGCTTGTGGTTTTAGCTGGCTTACTAGTGCTCCTATATATACTAACAATGCATGATGGTCCACTAGTTCATCCTCTACCCTTGTAAAGAAACTATGAAGTGCAGGTTAAGTGGTCACTGAAAAAATAAGTCAGTCATACCTCTTCTCAAGGGCTGAAGTGAGTTTCTCAAGCCTTATCTCACGGTCCTTTCTATTCCAGAGATTGGAAACCCAAGTGCCTACAGAGGCCAGTCTGGTGGGAATGAAGCAGGAAGCCGCTGCAGTGAACTGGAAAACCAAGTTCCAGATAATTGTCACAAGTCAGGCATGTTGACCTAGTGATACCGCATTGTCCAGTTTATCAGGTAAAGCAGGAAATGCAAATTTTCATGTGAAATTTTTAATTTAAATGTTGTCAACTAATTTGCTATTATTAATTATTATTCTTAAGCTGTATACAAGCCAAACACTTTTACAGATGGATTTGGCTTAGATTTCTTCCTTTTATAACTTAGTCCTATATTTGGCTTCCTTTTTTTTGTTAAATTGAAGACTTCATTTTCTACAGGTTTGGCTTTTCTTCAGTATGTGCTCTATAATACACTATGCCAGGTTTGGTGATATTGAAACTCCTTTCCTCTCCAACCTGAGTACTTTGCACATAAGTTTTCTTTGGCTGCTACATTTTCTCTGCCACTCTCATTCCAGTGAGCAGTTAATACTAAATGGAGTATCCCTGAGACACTTTTGATATGACACCACTAAACACCTACAGGTATACTACTTACTCACCTAGTTACTGATGGAGAAGCTACATAAACACAGCAAAAGATCATTTGTTTCACGGGGCTTAGAGATTGTATGCTTTGTGCCCCCCTTTCTAGAATCCACACAGAAATGATTTCCTCCTCTTGTTTCTTGAGAGACCATATCAGACAATTTATTAGACTTCAGTTATGTTTTACATTTAATTATGTTTGCTAGAGACCTTGATTGGACCTACATGTTCCTAGGTAGTTACACACATTTAGAGACAGTGTCTTTGGGTGGGTTTCTTAAGTGGCTAAGGAGTCTTCCTGTTTCCACTCCAGGACTAGCCTGAGTTTCAAGGTTATGACTCAAGGTTGAGATTGTTACCTCTATACAGAAGTGATTATGCCAAGAAGGAACTTGACATCCACTGTCAGGTGAATTAAAAAATGCTAAATATTTTATAGTAAGAGTGTATAAATATTAATTGCTTTATAATATGGCACAACCCCAAATGGGCATAATTCATAATTGTTTCATTCTTAGTATAGTTTTGGGAAAAAGCAATATTGATGTACATCTTTTTTTCAACAATGATTTAACCTATATATTGAGGTGTACCTTGAGTAACCAAAAAACCAGTAGTGCATGAATAAGAGGTAAAAATTACACACTTAAACTTGCTTAGTGTACTCTTAAATAGATTATGTAAATGCAGGCAAGTATTTCTTCTAAATATTCCCTATGAGAAATTTTGTTGTACCATAGAAAAGCAAAAGTAACAAACTGCTGATAACTAAAATACAGAAATACATTATAAAGTATTTTCCCTCAGAATTATACTGAGTTTATCAATTAATATATAGTTGTTCTATATTACTACTTTATTTTAAAACAGTTCTCTGTTTTTTTAAAGATATGTATGTAGGAGCTGGTGATTGTTCACTTTTTAACTTTTAAGAAGGTAAAATGAATAGTAAGCATTTTCTACCTATGCATACAGACCCTCACTTTTCACTTCCTTATTTTTTTATATTTTAATGTATTTTAATAGCAAACTAACAAGAATGGCACAGAAGAGAGACAATATTAAAAACATGTGCTTGCATGTAGGATGACAACTCAGTTAGAAAAGTATAGTGAATGGATGGAATCTATTGTATGGTTAAAGTGCTACAAACACCATTTAATTGCCATCCATAAGAAATTTACTCAGTACAAACTGACAGTGACCAGAGGGGAGGGAGGAGGGGGATAAGTAGAGAAAGAAGGGGAAGGGTCAAGTCAAGGAACAGTATAAAAGACCCATGGACAAAGACCATGGAGGGAGAATTGAATGTGGGAGAGGGAGGTAGGTACAGCAAGGGAGAGTAATGGGGGAAAAATGGGTCCAACTGTAATTGAACAACTACAAAAAATAATTTTAAAAAGAAAAGAAATTTACTTGGACATCTGGTCAAGATAGAGGCATAGGTAGACATGCTTTACCTCCTTGCACAACTGTAAGAAGGATCACAACTAACCTCAAAACAAGAACACCCAGAACTGCCAAAAAATCAAACTGTATGGAAGTCCAACAACCAAGGATTTACAGAAGCCTTACTCATCCACATGAATAGAAGGGGTAGAGACCGGGAGCCGAGGCAGAGAGGACACTGTGTGGTGGTGGCAAGGCAGCAGCAGAGAGGCAGCTGGCAAACCAGGTGGTCCCACCACATGTGGTGGATAAAATCAGGAGGGATACCTTGGGAACAAGTGATTGAAGTCTAAGGCCAGACCACACAGACCAGGGTTTCTGTACCAGGAAAATAAAACCTCACAATTTCTGCCTATAAAAACCAGTGGGAGTTGGGACAATGGCATAAACTGCCAGTCTTTTGGGAAAAGCCATTTATAGAGCCCAGACACAAACCCACCTGCTCTGGGAATGTTCCTAGAATGAACACAAACCCACCTGTTCTAGGAACTGCCTCCAGGGCAGCAGCTAGTGGGGTGCCAGTTGCTTACTGGAAGGGGATGAAGTAACTGGAAATGGGGTAAGTAATGAGTAAGCCTCAGCATCATCATCCTCATTCTGACTCCACCCCCACAATACAGAGCCACAAAACAGTGAAGCTGGTTGCCCCACCCCCATGAATACCTATGGCTGCACCCCATACAACCTAACAGGGTGCTAAGACAGGGAGTCAAAGCAGCCCCACCTAATACGCAGAAACAAATACAGGGAGGCTGCCAAATTGAGGAGACAAAGAAATATGGCCCAAGTGAAAAAATAGAACAAAACCCCCCCAAAAAGAACTAAGTGAAACAGAGATAGCCAACCTGTCAAATGAAGAGCTCAAAACACTGGTGATAAGGATGCTCAGAGAACTCACTGAACTAAGACAAAAACGTAAGGAAAGAAATGAAGGTTACACTAAGTAAAATTTTAAAAAATCCACAGGGAACTAACAGTGAAGGGAAGAGGTTCAAATCAATAATTTGGAACATAAGAGACAGTCAACCAGAACACAATGAAGAAACAATTCAAAAAAGTGAGGCAAAAATAAGAAGACTCTGGAACATCTCCAAAAGTCCCAATATCTGAATCATAGGGATGCCAGAAGAAGAGGAAGAGCAAGAAGTTGAAAACTTACTTGAAAAAATATTGAAAGAAAACTCCCTAACTTGGTAAGGGAAATAGATATACAAGTCCAGGAAGCACAGAGAGTCCCAAACAAGTTGGACCCAAAGAGGACCACACCAAAACACATTATAATTAAAATGCCAAAGGTTAAAGATAAAGAGGGAATCTCAAAAGCAACAAAAGAAAAGCTGGGAGTTACCTACAGAGGAGTTTCCATAAGACTATCAGCTGATTTCTCAAAAGAAACTTTGCAGGCAAAAAGAGAGTGGCAAGAAGTATTCAAAGTGATGAAAAGCAAGGACCTACAACCAAAACTACTCTATCCAGCAAAGCTATCATTTAATATTGAAGGGCAGATAAAATGCTTCCCAGATAAGGCAAAGCTAAAGGGGTCCATCAGCACCAAGCCCTTACTCTACTGAAGTTAAAGGGACTTACTCAATAAAAAGATCAAAACTATCAACATTAGAATAACAACAAACTCACAACTATCAACAACTGAATCTAAAAAACAAAAACAAATGAAGCAAACAACTAGAACAGGAACAGAATCATAACTAGAGAGATCATTTAGTGGACTACCAGTGGAGAAAGGGAAAGGAAAGAATGGGGGAAAAGGTACAGGGATTAGAAGCATAAATGTGGGTACAAAATAGACAGGGAGATTTTAAGAAAAGTATAGGAAATGGAGAAGCCAAAGAATTTACATGCATGACCCGTGGACATGAATTAAGGGGGTGGATTACTGGAAGGGAGGGTGGATGCTGGACAGGAGAGAGGCAAAGGGGGAAAAATTGGGACAACTGTAATAGCGTGATTAATAAAATATACTTAAAAAAAGAAATTGTTCTTTAAAAAATCCAAATACTGGCATTGTCCAGAAAAATTTAACAGGTTTATTTATATTATTATAAAGTTGAATTACTGAAACTTCTTCACTGAAACATTTTGACTTGCGTTAACGCTTTATGTTCTCTGCATTTATATTTAAAATATTTATACACAAATGAAAATGGAAAAATTGCCAATACCTGATTTTTGTCCCTATTTTCCACTTGCAATTATATACTTAGTTACCTTTTGACACCATCAGAAAAAAATACCTAATGCTCAGAACTACCTATAAAAGGAAGAAGAGATTTTTGTTTAAGAATGAAATGCTTTCCATTATAGTGGATTCTTAAGCACGTTCCCCATGTATACAGCATGCTAGCTGGATGTCTTTTGGCATATTTGTTACACATTTGGCATGGATAGCATACAGGTTGGTGTCTTCAAAAAGGCCAATTGGACAGGCCTCACTTAGCTCCTACATAGCACCAACAGCTGCACTTTAGAAGTGCAGATCTGTTTTGAAGTCCTGAGCAATTTGTTGAACCAGTCACTGGAAGGGAAGTTTGCAATCATAAGTTTAGTGGAATTGTGATAACACCTAATTTCACAAAGTGCCATAGTACCAGGCGTGTAATGAGATTACTGCACCCCTCCAGTAGAGGGCACATTCTTGTGAGTGGCTTTGGTAGCCAGTTGCTTCTTAGGTGCTTCACCACCAGCAGATTTGCTGCTTTGTAAGAGCCGTGGTATAGGCCCTGGCTGGCGTAGCTCAGTGGATTGAGTGTGGGCTGTGAACCAAAGTGTCACAGGTTCGATTCCCAGTCAGGGTACATGCCTGGGTTGCAGGCCATGGCCCCCAGCAACCACACATTGATGTTTCTCTCTCTTTCTCCCTCCCTTCCCTCTCTAAAAATAAATAAATAAAATCTTTAAAAAAAAATTGGTGAATTAAAAAAAAAAAGAGCCGTGATATAGAGACCTCTGCTTAGCCCCCTCTTCCTTGGGCTGGAGCTTGGATAGGTAGAGGAGGCTCTGCTGTTAAAGAGCAGCACTTCCTAAAGTATTTTTAAAGGTGCAAAAACTTAAACTTGAAGTTAAATGTCTCAGTCATATTTTTTCTTTGCAGTCATGTAAAATGGCAAGAGCAAAGAGAAA